CCAAACTGTGGAACAGCATCCTCCTCCCAATCAGATGTGCCCCCACCACTGAATCTTTTAATAAGTCCAGGCTCAAAACCTACTTTTATTCATTAGCGTTTGAATCCCCCTGATGTGGTCTTCCCTGATGCTGCCTGTGTGTGTTGTGTCTATAAATGTGTGAGCTGTGTACCTGACAATTATGTCACTGCTATGTATGTGTTTTTTAGAATTTAATTCCTTTTATACAGCACTTTGGTCAATGTGAGTTGTTTTTAAATGTGCTTTATAGATAAATTTGAGTTGACAACTATAATGATAATAATAAAGAAAATCTCCTTAGCCCTGCATCCATTCTGTTCAGGCTGCTCATCCCCCCAGTCAACCCCTCTGTAGCATCCATGGTCCGTGTTTCGAATTTGCCCCAACGTGTCTACGCCCCTCCATTTAGTCCCAGTTTTTTCTAACTCAACTTCATACTTCTGACTCTCTCGTTCTCACTCCTGAGAAGTAAATCAACGCAGCCTCTGTGGCTGGCCACCACATTCGCTACCACGTTTGCAACAGTTGTAACCATTTCCTCCTCCCAGACCCTCATATATCCATCCCAGATAAGCATTAATGGACAACTTCCTGCCCCGTGCTTATCTCCTTCTCTCATTCCTTTGTCCTTCCTCAAAATTTCGTATTTCCCCGTCTTATTAAAGCTTTACAAATCGCTTGGTCATGGTACAGTCCTTGCTAGTAAACCAGTTTACCAGTTGGCTTAAGTCTGGGATCAGGACCACCCCTCACTACTTATACCTTCTTTTTCTCCCCACACAATTTGATTCCATTTTGTTTCATGTAATAGAAATTTTCATTGCTTTTTAACATAAAAAACACAAGACTTCCCTTCATTCCCCTCTCTACCTCGACATTGTCGTCATCCACTCCCCTTGACCCAATCTCAATCCAAGCATCCCTGCTTACCAAGGAAATCCACCAAAATTCTGTCAAGTGTTTCTATATCAGGTAGGAGTGATTCATGCTGTCCCCAAATATGATAATGTGATTGCCCACTAGTCCATTTCCATGATTTTGGCGTAGTTGATTTTCACACTTGACATGTTCCGTGCTGGAAACATACTGCGTACCTTGAACTCCTGAGACTAACCTTTCAAGCGCACTTGAACAGGAGCCAGTGTGCTGTTCTGTTGCGGTATTAATTCTTCACACTTATCCAGAGAACCAGACTGAGGTTAAGCAGGCACAGATCTGGGCCCGGGTCCGTGACTGTAAAGCCCCCTTGGTCTTTTCAAATTTCCTTCTGGCCCAACTTCACTGGTCGGACTCATTTACTACCTCATCTCTATCATCACCCAAGCTTGATTGACCATGGACTGGTCCAGACTGGTAGCTGGAGAGGTGCCAGTTCACCTCCTGGGCACTGCCGAGGTGCCCTTGAGCAAGGCACCGAACACCCCAAACCGCTCAGAACGCATGTCATGGGTAGCCCCACTCTGACTTCTCTCCACTTAGTGCATGTATAGGTCCTGTTTGTGCATGTGTGTGTTTGGACCTGTGTATAACTGACAAAAGAGTGAAAAAATTGAATTTCCCCTCGGAAATAAAAGTTAATAAAAGTTGGGAAAAATAAAAAAAGATGGAGCTAAAACTGGAGCACCAGTCCCAAAATTCTCCTGGAACGACATCCACTTTTGTGATGATCACACTGAGCCAGGAGTCATCCAACCGTACACAAACTCGTACCCTTCTTTCGACTGATTTACTTGGGTTGTCTCTTCACACAGAGCCACTTTAACCATTTATAGGCAGAAAAATCTTGCCCAAATTAAAAAAACAGGTTGTGGTCTTCTTTAGTAAACATCACACATATGCACTACAATCCAAACAACATCCGAAACTCCCATGCACTCTTTTTTTTTTAAAGATATTTTTCTGGGCATTTTAGCCTTTAATTGACAGGGCAGGTAAGTGTGGGGGGGTGGGGGGGGAAGAGGCCACAGGCTGGACTTGAACCTGGGCCGCTGTGGCAACAGCTTTTTACATGGTGCGCCTGCTCTATCCACTAAGCCACTGATGCCCCCCCATGCACTCTTGAAGCTCTTTTGAGGGCTCTATCCAAAGCCGAGCTCATGAAGAGACAACTCCCTCACTCAGTCTCACCCCGGGATCGCTCCTGCGTTCCTACCTTTGACCCAACACATTCATCATCGCGCTCGCCGCTACCCAGAAACCCAGCCCTCATCCCTCAACCCTCAGTCTTCCATCCCTTCATCCCTCATTCCTTCATTCCTCACTCTATAACCCTTGATCCTTACCCCGTCATCCCTAACCTTTGATCCATCTGGCCCTTGGCCCTCATCCCCTCATCCCTTCATCCCTCAACCCTTCATCCCTCACCCCTTCATCCCTCATCCATTCGACCTTCGACCCTCAACCCTTCATCCCTCTTCCCTCATCCATTCGACCTTCGACCCTCAACCCTTCATCCCTCATCCATTCGACCCTCATCTGTTCATCCCTCAACCCTTCATCCCTCATACATTTGACCCTCGACCCTCATCCATTCATACCCCCATCCTCATCCTTTCATTTTCTAATCCCTTGATCCTCACACCTTCACGCTTTCCTCCAAACCCATAATCCATCATACATAATAAATCATCCAAAATCTTTATGTTATTGGTGTGGTCTTTGTTAGTGAAATGTAGTTTTATAACTAGGTTCAGGAACAAAGACCACACCTTGAACACATCCAATTTCCGCCGAATAGTATTTAAGCACACCTGATGCATTCTCATTCTCTTCGACACATTTCCCACATCCCACCCACCCAATCCCATCTTGCCTCTTACATCTTTTTCTCTGTGCTTTTCTGCCATTGACCCAACACATTCATCATTGCACTCACCTGCTACCCAGAAACCCAGCCCTCATCTCTCAACCCTCATCCCTTCATTCCTCACTCTATATCCCTTGATCCTGACCCTGTCATCCCTAATCTTTCATCCATCTGGCCCTTGACCCCCATCTCTTCATTCATACATCCCTCATCCCTTCAGCCTTCATCCCTCAACCCTTCATCCCTCATCCCTTCATCCCTCATCCATTCGACCCTCACCCCTTCATCCCCACATCCTCATCCTTTCATTTTCTAATACCTCGATCCTCACCTCCTACAGCTTTCCCCAACCCATAATCAATCATACACAATAACTCATTCGAAATCTTTGTCTTGTTGGTGCGATCTCTGTTAGTGAACTGTTATTTGGTGAAAGTCATCTGCAAATTTTTTTTCTTTATTGACAACTCTAACGTTCTTTGATCATATGAAGTGGCATCTTTGTCAATTAAAAAAACGAGAACTTTGAAAATTTAATCTAAGATTTCTGGAAAACGTTATTCTTACTGTGGCTGCCGTAGGTCTTTGCAACATAATAGTGTATTCAAAATGCCTTTTTTAAAGTTTTTTAAACTTTGACAATGACTGACGCTGGTTTTGATGCTGGTGGTTATTCTGTGTTAGAGGTGACTGAAGAACAATGTTTCTCGCAGACTGTGTGGCGGTGTTTGAACAAAATATGAATCTCATAGCCAAAGTAAAGTATGCACCACTTCAGTTCTCGCTTTCTGAACACACCTGATTTGCTGACACAACAAAGGCTGAGAACAACTGATTAGTGAAATTTAATCATACAAAATCACACGGCAGGGTTTGATTATCAGTAAACATCACTTCACTATTGAAAGCTCCCGACATTAAACATGCCATAATACATTTTCTATTTACCCACCAAAATTCCAAAACATCACACGAGACAATTTGAAGTTTTCAAAGAATCTGTATTCTGATCATTGTAAAGTTAAACTTTGTTAAGTTAAATGAAGAAATCTCACAGAATACAGCTATACATGATTACATAAATACACCTTGTATAAATAAGAAAAGTGACAGTGCATTGTTTTGACACACACATATATAAATAAATCATACCTCACCATGGCTCACTATGAGCTGCAGGTGTTCCTTCACTTCATTGAAAACACTTGTCCCTTTTACAATATGCTCTCTGTTATTGGTATGTCATGTTATACCATGCTACGGTATCTAGTTAAACCTTAACATCACTTTTACATGCATTTGTAGACCAGGGAAATATTTGCACACACTTTTAAGCTCAAAGTAAAACTATGCCATTTTGAATGATCTTGTACAAATTACAATTTTTTTTAAAAAAAAGGAAAAGACATTTCTCAATCTGCATGTATTAAAATAAATGTGCAACTGTATTCTGACAATGGTTAGAGTGATTTAAGGTTTTACCTTTCAATGCAGCTGGTTTCACTANCACAGAATACAGCTATACATGATTACATAAATACACCTTGTATAAATAAGAAAAGTGACAGTGCATTGTTTTGACATATATATGTGTATATATATATAAAAATCATACCTCACCATGGCTCACTATGAGCTGCAGGTGTTCCTTCATTTCATTGAAAACACTTGTTCCTTTTACAATATGCTCTCTGTTATTGCTATGTCATGTTATACCATGCTACGGTATCTAGTTAAACCTTAACATCAATTTTACATGCATTTGTAGACCAGGGAAATATTTGCACACACTTTTAAGCTCAAAGTAAAACTACGCCATTTTGAATGATCTTGTACAAATTACAAAGACCTAACTTTTTTCTTTTTTTAAAGAGGAGACATTTCTCAATCTGCATGTATTAAAATAAATGTGCAACTGTATTCTGACAATGGTTAGAGTGATTTAAGGTTTTACCTTTCAATGCAGCTGGTTTCACTAGTGTACTTGGACTTGATAACTTGTTTGGCATGACTAAACAAAACAGAATTAGTAACTGTCACTAAGTAAAATATTGCTGTAGCACTTTATTTTCTGACATCCCAGGGCTTAATGGTATATTTTTTTGCTTATTATTCTAGCGATGACTCAGTGGACCAGGTGCTTAAAGTTGGCTGTGTCATTCTGTCTGGCCGAGGATCCTGGACATTCCCACACAGAAGTGTGTTGAATTCGACAGACATACCTAATCCACTGTCATGACTTTGTCCGGTCAGTGGAAAGTTCAATTTGATGGTTAATCCATCTGAAGCTATACAAAACTTAGACAATAATGAATCATGGATTTTTACTGACAACATAGTCCTTTTTCATACCAGTGATGGCAGTAATGTTCTGGTGGCAATTCAGATAGATATCAGCACTGATGTTATTGCTGACTAGACAGTAGCCATGACAACAGTACCAGGCAGCATGCCGTGACAAGACTGATCTTGTGGCTTACTCCACTTGAAGCTATAAATGAGGAGAAAATGAAACAAGACATTAATTTAACAGTTGTGTGACTTTTGAAAATAATGATCAAGCAGCACTCAGTATTGCTTACATATGCCATTCACAGTGATGGAGCTGGTTTCAATGTCAAAGGTGGTGACGGCTGAAGCGCTGGTCAAAGCACTTGCAATCTGAGTGTCATTGGGAGCAGATGTGCTTTCAAAGACAGAGTCAAGAGTGTTGAAGATGGATCCATTGCTGCAGAAGAAGAAACAAGCAAAACAAAACGTGCCAAATATTAGATTTATGCCAGTATTCTTATATTGTAACATAATAAATCTTTAAAGAATTACCTGAATGACACCACTTTCAAGGATTTAAAGCCGGTACCGAATTCCCTTTGGAAAATAGGTGTAAGCTGCAGAAACAGAAAACAAGTTGTATTTAAAATACAATGTTTGCTTTTATTTTTGCCTTGAAACACTGAACTGTGCATGTGTGTATACATGTGAAACAGTGTATTTCCTGAAATGTGAGACATATTTCAGAAAATATTCTTATAATTAAGGGAAGTCAAATGAGAAGTTGCAGAGTAAGCAGGGGGTGGAGCTTTATTTGCATTATTATATTCTCCTTGATGCTTTTGTTATCAGTTATTTTGGGAATTTGAAAATGTGATCATTTAGTATGTAGACAGAGAAAGTGCTCCAATATTTGAGCAAATGCATGAGAATTTTGAAGAAAAATGAAAATTACCTGGTTTACTATCATTGCAGCTCGATTCATATAAGCTGCAGAAGATGGATTCAGCAGGTCGCTTGTAAATATGCCTTGAACAGATCTGAAAGTCACCCTTTTGGTCATGAGTGCTACAGTTGTAGGTGCAGCAGTTGTAGCTGCGACAGTGGTAGGTGCAGCAGTTGAAGGTGCGACAGTGGTAGGTGCAGCAGTAGTAGGGACAGTAGTTGTAAGTGCGGCAGTAGTAGCTGCAGCAGTGGTAGGTGCAGCCGTTGTAGTTGGAGTTGCAACTGGGCCTGCTGTAAAAGTCATAAGAATATGTAAATGAGTGTGGGTCCCCAAAACAAAAGAATTCTTTTCTTACTTGATGTCAAACTGACTTTAGTGTCAGTTTCACAGATATATAACAACAATTATAAAAGGCTCTTAAAGTTCACTTTGCCAGAAATCTTACTGAATACAAGGTAGCTCAGACAGTAGCTCATCCTGCATCAGTAAAACTGCACAACACTGAAGTTTTCTTTATGAATCTTGCCGAGCAACATGATTTAGTTTGTGACTTCATAAACAGAGCATGAGCAGCACATGTACACTGTTTTACATACTGATTAGAGTGAAACATTTGTTTACTTACCTACTAAGGTGACTGAGCTGGGATTTATGCTCACGTTGAAGGAGTTGTTGGTATTACTCACTGCTTCTTGGAGGGTAGAAGCAATGACAACATTTGGTGGGGGATCTGTAGTGTTCTGATTGAAGACAACATCAAAATCGGCTTGAACTCCTTCTGCTCGTGATGTACCGAGGGCACTGTTTCATAAAAAAACAAATGAGACAAGTGTTAAATATTTATTCTAAATCCTCAATAAAGTAAATCACTGAACCACCATTGGAAAAAACACACAAATACTTTTACCTGAACTTTGTCACAATGCAGTCAACAAAGTCCGGAAATTTGTGCCTGTATATCTGAAAACACTGCAAACAGAGAAAAAACATCAGAAAAGCTTGAGGACATTTAAAGCTGATTTTCGAATCATATAAAAACCTAAAAAATTACAAGTTTCTAAAACTGGATTTTGATCTTAACAGTTTTGTGTTTTAAGTTAACCAATCTGTCAATTACATTGGTTCCAACAATGACACAATTAATTACTAATTTATAATTACAATATGAACTCACTGTAGCTACAACTCGTTTTGCAAGTGCTTTGAAGGCAGGGCTGTTGCGGTCATTGAGGTCCTCTGAAAAAGTTTCTCCTGCCATGTCTACTGAGAGGCTATAACGAGGTTGAGCTGCTGCAGTAGTAGGAGCCACAGTAGTAGGTGCAGCAGTTGTTGGAGTGGCAGTTGTAGGAGCGGCAGTTGTAGGTGTAGCTGTTGTTGGAGCCGCAGTTGTAGGTGCTGCAGTTGTAGGTGCAGCAGTTGTTGGTGCAGCAGTTGTTGGAACGGCAGTTGTAGGTGCTGCAGTTGTTGGAGCGGCACTTGTAGGAGTTGCAGTAGTAGGTGCTGCAGTTGTAGGTGCAGCTGTTGTAGGTGCAAGTGTTGTAGGTGCGGCAGTGGTAGGAGCAGCTGTTGTCGGTGCAGCAGTCGTTGGAGCTGCAGTTGTAGCTGCAACGGGTGTTGGAGCGGCAGTTGTAGGTGCGGCAGTCGTAGTTGCAGCAGTTGTTGGAGCGTCAGTTGTAGGTGCGGCAGTGGAAGGTGCAGCAGTCGTTGGAGTGGCAGTTGTTGGAGTGGCAGTTGTAGGTGCAGCAGTAGTTGGAGCTGCAGTAGTAGGTGCTGCAGTTGTAAGTGCTGCAGTTGTAGGTGCGGCAGTCATAGGTGAGGCAGTCGTCTGAGCTACAGTTGTAGGTGCAGCAGTTGTTGGAGCGGCAGTTGTAGGTGCTGCAGTTGTCTGTGCAGCTGTTGAACGTGATGCAGTTGTAGGTGCAGCTGTTGTTGGTGCTGCAGTTGTAGGTGCAGCTGTTGTAGGTGCAACAGTTGTTGGAGCAGCAGTTGTTGGAGCGGCAGTTGTCGGTGCAACTGTTGTAGGTGCAGCAGTTGTAGGAGCTGCAGTAGTAGGTGCTGCACTGGTCAGTGCAGCAGTTGTTGGAGCGTCAGTTGCAGGTGCAACAGTCGTTGGTGCAGCAGTTGTTCGAGCAGCAGTCGTAGGTGCTGCAGTTGTAGATGCAGCAGTTGTAGGTGCAGCAGTTGTAGATGCAACAGTTGTTGGAGCGGCAGTTGTTGGAGTGGCAGTTGTAGGTGCAGCAGTTGTTGGAGCGGCAGTTGTAGAAGTTGCAGTAGTAGGTGCTGCAGTTGTCTGTGCAGCCGTTGTAGGCGCAGCTGTTGTAGGTGCTGCAGTTGTAGGTGCAGCTGTTGTTGGAGCAGCAGTTGTAGGTGCAGCTGTTGTAGGTGCAGCAGTTGTTGGAGCGGCAGTTGTAGGAGTTGCAGTTGTAGGTGCAGATGTTGTTGGTGCTGCAGTTGTAGGTGGAGCAGTCGTAGGTGCAGCAGTTGTTAGAGCAGCAGTTGTAGGTGCAGCAGTTGTTGGAGCGGCAGTTGTAGGAGTTGCAGTAGTAGGTGCTGCAGTTGTCTGTGCAGCCGTTGTAGGCGCAGCTGTTGTAGGTGCTGCAGCTGTAGGTGCAGTTGTTGTTGGTGCTGCAGTTGTAGGTGGAGCAGTCGTAGGTGCAGCAGTTGTTAGAGCAGCAGTTGTAGGTGCAGCTGTTGTTGGAGCGGCAGTTGTTGGAGCAGCAGTTGTTGGAGCGGCAGTTGTCGGTGCAGCTGTTGTAGGTGCAGCAGTTGTTGGAGCTGCAGTAGTAGGTGCAGCAGTTGTAGGTGCAACAGTTGTTGAAGCTGCAGTTGTAGGCGCACCTGTTGTAGGTGCTGCAGTTGTAGGTGCAGCTGTTGTTGGTGCTGCAGTTGTTGTAGGTGCAGCTGTTGTAGGTGCAGCAGTTGTTGGAGCGGCAGTTGTAGGAGTTCCAGTAGTAGGTGCTGCAGTTGTCGGTGTAGCAGTCGTACGTGCAGCAGTTGTTGGAGCGGCAGTTGTAGGAGTTGCAGGAGTAGGTGCTGCAGTTGTCTGTGCAGCTGTTGTACGTGCTGCAGTTGCAGGTGCAGCTGTTGTTGGTGCTGCAGTTGTAGGTGCAGCTGTTGTAGATGCAACAGTTGTTGGAGCAGCAGTTGTTCGAGCGGCAGTTGTCTGTGAAGCTGTTGTAGGTGCAGCAGTTGTAGGAGCTGCAGTAGTAGGTGCTGCAGTGGTCAGTGCAGCAGTTGTTGGAGCGGCAGTTGTAGGTGCAACAGTCGTTGGTGCAGCAGTTGTTGGAGCAGCAGTCGTAGGTGCTGCAGTTGTAGGTGCAGCAGTTGTAGGTGCAACAGTTGTTGGAGCGGCAGTTGTTGGAGCGTCAGTTGTAGGTGCAGCAGTTGTTGGAGCGGCAGTTGTAGGTGCAGCAGTTGTTGGAGCGTCAGTTGTAGGAGTTGCAGTAGTAGGTGCCGCAGTTGTCTGTGCAGCCGTTGTAGGCGCAGCTGTTGTAGGTACGGCAGTTGTTGGAGTGGCAGTTGTTTGAGGGGCAGTTGTAGGTGCAGCAGTTGTAGGTGCAGCTGTTGTAGGTGCAACAGTTGTTGGAGCAGCAGTTGTTGGAGCGGCAGTTGTCGGTGCAGCTGTTGTAGGTGCAGCACTTGTAGGAGCTGCAGTAGTAGGTGCTGCAGTTGTAGGTGCAGCAGTTGTAGGTGCAGCCGTTGTTGGAGCGGCAGTTGTTGGGGCGTCAGTTGCAGGAGTTGGAGTTGTAGGTGCAGCTGTTGTTGGTGCTGCAGTTGTAGGTGCAGCTGTTGTAGGTGCAACAGATGTTGGAGCAGCAGTTGTTGGAGCAGCAGTTGTCGGTGCAGCTGTTGTAGGTGCAGCAGTTGTAGCAGGTGCAGTAGTAGGTGCTGTAGTGGTCAGTGCAGCAGTTGTTGGGGCGGCAGTTGTAGATGCAGCCGTTGTAGGTGCAACAGTTGTAGGTGCAGCAGTTGTAGGTGCAGCTGTTGTAGGTGCAACAGTTGTAGGTTCAGCAGTTTTTGGATCCGCAGTTGTCGGTGCAGCAGTCGTTCGTGCAGCAGTTGTTAGAGCGGCAGTCGTAGGTGCTGCAGTTGTAGGTGCAACTGTTGTTGGTGCAGCAGTCGTAGGTGCAGTTGTTGTAAGTATGGCAGTTGTTGGTGCAGCAGTTGTAGGCGCGGCTGTTGTAGGTGCAACAGTTGTAGGTGCAGTAGTTGTTGGAGCGGCAGTTGTCGGTGCAGCTGTTGTAGGAGCAGCAGTTGTAGATGCAACAGTTGTAGGAGCTGCAGTAGTAGGTGCTGCAGTGGTCAGCACAGTAGTTGTTGGAGCAGCAGTTGTAGGTGCAGCAGTTGTAGGTGCAGCTGTTGTAGGTACGGCAGTTGTTGGAGTGGCAGTTGTTTGAGTGGCAGTTGTAGGTGTGGCAGTTGTAGGTGCAGCAGTTGTAGGTGCAGCTGTTGTAGGTGCAACAGTTGTTGGAGCAGCAGTTGTTTGAACGGCAGTTTTCGGTGCAGCTGTTGTAGGAGCAGCAGTTGTAGGAGCTGCAGTAGTAGGTGCTGCAGTGGTCAGTGCAGTAGTTGTTGGAGCAGCAGTTGTAGGTGCAGCAGTTGTAGGTGCAGCTGTTGTAGGTGCAACAGTTGTAGGTGCGGCAGTTGTTGGAGCAGCAGTTGTCGGTGCAGCTGTTGTAGCTGCAGCAGTTGTAGGTGCAACAGTTGTAGGAGCTGCATTAGTAGGTGCTGCAGTGGTCAGTGCAGTAGTTGTTGGAGCGGCAGTTGCAGGTGGAGCAGTCGTAGGTGCAGCAGTTGTTAGAGCAGCAGTTGTAGGTGCAGCAGTTGTTGGAGTGGCAGTTGTAGGAGTTGCAGTAGTAGGTGCTGCAGTTGTAGGCGCAGCTGTTGTAGGTGCTGCAGTTGTAGGTGCAGCTGTTGTTGGTACTGCAGTTGTAGGTGCAGCTGTTGTAGGTGCAACAATTGTTGGAGCAGCAGTTGTTGGAGCGGCAGTTGTCGGTGCAGCTGTTGTAGGTGCAGCAGTAGTAGGAGCTGCAGTAGTAGGTGCTGCAGTTGTAGGTGCAACAGTTGTTGAAGCTGCAGTTGTTGGAGCGTCAGTTGTAGGAGTTGCAGTAGTAGGTGCTGCAGTTGTCTGTGCAGCCGTTGTAGGCACGGCAGTTGTTGGAGTGGCAGTTGTAGGTGCAGCAGTTGTTGGAGCGGCAGTTGTAATAGTTGCAGTAGTAGGTGCTGCAGTTGTCTGTGCAGCCGTTGTAGGCACAGCTGTTGTAGGTGCTGCAGTTGTAGGTGCAGCTGTTGTTAGTGCTGTAGTTGTAGGTGCAGCTGTTGTAGGTGCAACAGTTGTTGGAGCAGCAGTTGTTGGAGCGGCAGTTGTCGGTGCAGCAGTCGTAGGTGCAGCAGTTGTTAGAGCAACAGTTGTAGGTGCAGCAGTTGTTGGAGCGGCAGTTGTAGGAGTTGCAGTAGTAGGTGCTGGAGTTGTCTGTGCAGCCGTTGTAGGTGCAGCTGTTGTAGGTGCTGCAGTTGTAGGTGCAGCTGTTGTTGGTGCTGCAGTTGTAGGTGGAGCAGTCGTAGGTGCAGCAGTTGTTAGAGTAGCAGTTGTAGGTGCAGCAGTTGTTGGAGCGGCAGTTGTAGGAGTTGCAGTAGTAGGTGCTGCAGTTGTCTGTGCAGATGTTGTACGTGCTGCAGTTGTAGGTGCAGCAGTCGTTGGAGTGGCAGTTGTAGGTGCAGCTGTTGTAGGTACAACAGTTGTTGGAGCAGCAGTTGTTGGAGCGGCAGTTGTCGGTGCAGCTGTTGTAGGTGCAGCACTTGTACGAGCTGCAGTAGTAGGTGCTGCAGTTGTAGGTGCAGCTGTTGTTGGAGCGGCAGTTGTAGGTGGAGCAGTCGTAGGTGCAGCAGTTGTTAGAGTAGCAGTTGTAGGTGCAGCAGTTGTTGGAGCGGCAGTTGTAGGAGTTGCAGTAGTAGGTGCTGCAGTTGTCTGTGCAGATGTTGTACGTGCTGCAGTTGTAGGTGCAGCAGTCGTTGGAGTGGCAGTTGTAGGTGCAGCTGTTGTAGGTACAACAGTTGTTGGAGCAGCAGTTGTTGGAGCGGCAGTTGTCGGTGCAGCTGTTGTAGGTGCAGCACTTGTACGAGCTGCAGTAGTAGGTGCTGCAGTTGTAGGTGCAGCTGTTGTTGGAGCGGCAGTTGTAGTAGTTGCAGTAGTAGGTGCTGCAGTTGTCTGTGCAGCCGTTGTAGGCGCAGCTGTTGTAGGTGCTGCAGTTGTAGGTGCAGCTGTTGTTGGTGCTGCAGTTGTAGGTGCAACAGTTGTAGGAGCTGCAGTAGTAGGTGCTGCAGTGGTCAGTGCAGTAGTTGTTGGAGCAGCAGTTGTAGGTGCAGCAGTTGTAGGTGCAGCTGTTGTAGGTGCAGCAGTTGTTGGAGCAGCAGTTGTTGGAGCGGCAGTTGTCGGTGCAGCTGTTGTAGGTGCAGCACTTGTAGGAGCTGCAGTAGTAGGTGCTGCAGTTGTAGGTGCAGCAGTTGTAGGTGCAGCCGTTGTTGGAGCGGCAGTTGTTGGGGCGTCAGTTGCAGGAGTTGGAGTTGTAGGTGCAGCTGTTGTTGGTGCTGCAGTTGTAGGTGCAGCTGTTGTAGGTGCAACAGATGTTGGAGCAGCAGTTGTTGGAGCAGCAGTTGTCGGTGCAGCTGTTGTAGGTGCAGCAGTTGTAGCAGGTGCAGTAGTAGGTGCTGTAGTGGTCAGTGCAGCAGTTGTTGGGGCGGCAGTTGTAGATGCAGCCGTTGTAGGTGCAACAGTTGTAGGTGCAGCAGTTGTAGGTGCAGCTGTTGTAGGTGCAACAGTTGTAGGTTCAGCAGTTTTTGGATCCGCAGTTGTCGGTGCAGCAGTCGTTCGTGCAGCAGTTGTTAGAGCGGCAGTCGTAGGTGCTGCAGTTGTAGGTGCAACTGTTGTTGGTGCAGCAGTCGTAGGTGCAGTTGTTGTAAGTATGGCAGTTGTTGGTGCAGCAGTTGTAGGCGCGGCTGTTGTAGGTGCAACAGTTGTAGGTGCAGTAGTTGTTGGAGCGGCAGTTGTCGGTGCAGCTGTTGTAGGAGCAGCAGTTGTAGATGCAACAGTTGTAGGAGCTGCAGTAGTAGGTGCTGCAGTGGTCAGCACAGTAGTTGTTGGAGCAGCAGTTGTAGGTGCAGCAGTTGTAGGTGCAGCTGTTGTAGGTACGGCAGTTGTTGGAGTGGCAGTTGTTTGAGTGGCAGTTGTAGGTGTGGCAGTTGTAGGTGCAGCAGTTGTAGGTGCAGCTGTTGTAGGTGCAACAGTTGTTGGAGCAGCAGTTGTTTGAACGGCAGTTTTCGGTGCAGCTGTTGTAGGAGCAGCAGTTGTAGGAGCTGCAGTAGTAGGTGCTGCAGTGGTCAGTGCAGTAGTTGTTGGAGCAGCAGTTGTAGGTGCAGCAGTTGTAGGTGCAGCTGTTGTAGGTGCAACAGTTGTAGGTGCGGCAGTTGTTGGAGCAGCAGTTGTCGGTGCAGCTGTTGTAGCTGCAGCAGTTGTAGGTGCAACAGTTGTAGGAGCTGCATTAGTAGGTGCTGCAGTGGTCAGTGCAGTAGTTGTTGGAGCGGCAGTTGCAGGTGGAGCAGTCGTAGGTGCAGCAGTTGTTAGAGCAGCAGTTGTAGGTGCAGCAGTTGTTGGAGTGGCAGTTGTAGGAGTTGCAGTAGTAGGTGCTGCAGTTGTAGGCGCAGCTGTTGTAGGTGCTGCAGTTGTAGGTGCAGCTGTTGTTGGTACTGCAGTTGTAGGTGCAGCTGTTGTAGGTGCAACAATTGTTGGAGCAGCAGTTGTTGGAGCGGCAGTTGTCGGTGCAGCTGTTGTAGGTGCAGCAGTAGTAGGAGCTGCAGTAGTAGGTGCTGCAGTTGTAGGTGCAACAGTTGTTGAAGCTGCAGTTGTTGGAGCGTCAGTTGTAGGAGTTGCAGTAGTAGGTGCTGCAGTTGTCTGTGCAGCCGTTGTAGGCACGGCAGTTGTTGGAGTGGCAGTTGTAGGTGCAGCAGTTGTTGGAGCGGCAGTTGTAATAGTTGCAGTAGTAGGTGCTGCAGTTGTCTGTGCAGCCGTTGTAGGCACAGCTGTTGTAGGTGCTGCAGTTGTAGGTGCAGCTGTTGTTAGTGCTGTAGTTGTAGGTGCAGCTGTTGTAGGTGCAACAGTTGTTGGAGCAGCAGTTGTTGGAGCGGCAGTTGTCGGTGCAGCAGTCGTAGGTGCAGCAGTTGTTAGAGCAACAGTTGTAGGTGCAGCAGTTGTTGGAGCGGCAGTTGTAGGAGTTGCAGTAGTAGGTGCTGGAGTTGTCTGTGCAGCCGTTGTAGGTGCAGCTGTTGTAGGTGCTGCAGTTGTAGGTGCAGCTGTTGTTGGTGCTGCAGTTGTAGGTGGAGCAGTCGTAGGTGCAGCAGTTGTTAGAGTAGCAGTTGTAGGTGCAGCAGTTGTTGGAGCGGCAGTTGTAGGAGTTGCAGTAGTAGGTGCTGCAGTTGTCTGTGCAGATGTTGTACGTGCTGCAGTTGTAGGTGCAGCAGTCGTTGGAGTGGCAGTTGTAGGTGCAGCTGTTGTAGGTACAACAGTTGTTGGAGCAGCAGTTGTTGGAGCGGCAGTTGTCGGTGCAGCTGTTGTAGGTGCAGCACTTGTACGAGCTGCAGTAGTAGGTGCTGCAGTTGTAGGTGCAGCTGTTGTTGGAGCGGCAGTTGTAGGTGGAGCAGTCGTAGGTGCAGCAGTTGTTAGAGTAGCAGTTGTAGGTGCAGCAGTTGTTGGAGCGGCAGTTGTAGGAGTTGCAGTAGTAGGTGCTGCAGTTGTCTGTGCAGATGTTGTACGTGCTGCAGTTGTAGGTGCAGCAGTCGTTGGAGTGGCAGTTGTAGGTGCAGCTGTTGTAGGTACAACAGTTGTTGGAGCAGCAGTTGTTGGAGCGGCAGTTGTCGGTGCAGCTGTTGTAGGTGCAGCACTTGTACGAGCTGCAGTAGTAGGTGCTGCAGTTGTAGGTGCAGCTGTTGTTGGAGCGGCAGTTGTAGTAGTTGCAGTAGTAGGTGCTGCAGTTGTCTGTGCAGCCGTTGTAGGCGCAGCTGTTGTAGGTGCTGCAGTTGTAGGTGCAGCTGTTGTTGGTGCTGCAGTTGTAGGTGCAACAGTTGTAGGAGCTGCAGTAGTAGGTGCTGCAGTGGTCAGTGCAGTAGTTGTTGGAGCAGCAGTTGTAGGTGCAGCAGTTGTAGGTGCAGCTGTTGTAGGTACGGCAGTTGTTGGAGTGGCAGTTGTTTGAGGGGCAGTTGTACGTGTGGCAGTTGTAGGTGCGGCAGTTGTAGGAGCAGCAGTTGTAGGAGCTGCAATCGTTGGCCCTGCAGTTGTCGGTGCAGCAGTTGTAGGCGCAGCAGTCGGTGGTGCAGCAGTTGTTGGAGCAGCAGTTGTAGGTTCTGCAGTTGTAGGCACAGCTGTTGTCGGTGTAGCAGTTGTTTGAGCGGCAGTTGTAGGTGCAGCAGTCGTTGGTGCAGCAGTTGTTGGAGCAGCAGCCGTAGGTGCTGCAGTTGTAGGTCCAGCTGTTGTAGGTGCAGCAGTTGTAGGTGCAGCTGTTGTAGGTGCAACAGTTGTAGGTGCGGCAGTTGTTGGAGCAGCAGTTGTAAGAGCAGCAGTTGTGGGAGCTGCAGTAGTTGGCACTGCTGTTGTAAGTGCAGCAGTTGTTGGAGCAGCAGTTGTAGGTGCAGCAGTTGTTGGAGCGGCAGTTGTAGGAGTTGCAGTAGTAGGTGCTGCAGTTGTCTGTGCAGATGTTGTACGTGCTGCAGTTGTAGGTGCAGCAGTCGTTGGAGTGGCAGTTGTAGGTGCAGCTGTTGTAGGTACAACAGTTGTTGGAGCAGCAGTTGTTGGAGCGGCAGTTGTCGGTGCAGCTGTTGTAGGTGCAGCACTTGTACGAGCTGCAGTAGTAGGTGCTGCAGTTGTAGGTGCAGCTGTTGTTGGAGCGGCAGTTGTAGTAGTTGCAGTAGTAGGTGCTGCAGTTGTCTGTGCAGCCGTTGTAGGCGCAGCTGTTGTAGGTGCTGCAGTTGTAGGTGCAGCTGTTGTTGGTGCTGCAGTTGTAGGTGCAACAGTTGTAGGAGCTGCAGTAGTAGGTGCTGCAGTGGTCAGTGCAGTAGTTGTTGGAGCAGCAGTTGTAGGTGCAGCAGTTGTAGGTGCAGCTGTTGTAGGTACGGCAGTTGTTGGAGTGGCAGTTGTTTGAGGGGCAGTTGTACGTGTGGCAGTTGTAGGTGCGGCAGTTGTAGGAGCAGCAGTTGTAGGAGCTGCAATCGTTGGCCCTGCAGTTGTCGGTGCAGCAGTTGTAGGCGCAGCAGTCGGTGGTGCAGCAGTTGTTGGAGCAGCAGTTGTAGGTTCTGCAGTTGTAGGCACAGCTGTTGTCGGTGTAGCAGTTGTTTGAGCGGCAGTTGTAGGTGCAGCAGTCGTTGGTGCAGCAGTTGTTGGAGCAGCAGCCGTAGGTGCTGCAGTTGTAGGTCCAGCTGTTGTAGGTGCAGCAGTTGTAGGTGCAGCTGTTGTAGGTGCAACAGTTGTAGGTGCGGCAGTTGTTGGAGCAGCAGTTGTAAGAGCAGCAGTTGTGGGAGCTGCAGTAGTTGGCACTGCTGTTGTAAGTGCAGCAGTTGTTGGAGCAGCAGTTGTAGGTGCAGCAGTTGTTGGAGCAGCAGTTGTAAGAGTTGCAGTAGTAGGTGCTGCAGTTGTCTGTGCAGCAGTTGTAGGCGCAGCTGTTGTAGGTGCAGCTGTTGTTGGTGCAGCAGTTGTAGGTGCGGCTGTTGTAGGTGCCACAGTTGTAGGTGCAGTAGTTGTTCGAGTGGCAGTTGTCAGTGCAGCTGTCGTAGGAGCAGCAGTTGTAGGTGCAAGAGTTGTAGGAGCTGCAGTGGTAGGTGCTGCAGTGGTCAGTGCAGTAGTTGTTGGAGCAGCAGTTGTAGGTGCAGCAGTTGTAGGTGCAGCTGTTGTATGTGCAACAGTTGTAGGTGCGGCAGTTGTTGGAGCGGCAGTTGTAGGTGCAGCTGTTGTAGGTGCAGCAGTCGTAGGTGCAACAGTTGTTGGAGCGGCAGTTGTTGGAGCAGCAGTTGTACGTGCAGCAGTCGTAGGTGCAGCAGTTGTAGGAGTTGCAGTAGTAGGTGCTGCAGTTGTCTGTGCAGCCGTTGTAGGCTCAGCTGTTGTAGGTAGGGCAGTTGTTGGAGTGGCAGTTGTTTGAGGGGCAGTTGTAGGTGCGGCAGTTGTAGGTGTAGCTGTTGTAGGTGCAGCAGTTGTTAGAGCAACAATTGTAGGTGCAGCAGTTGTAGGTGCAGCTGTTGTAGGTGCAGCTGTTGAAGGTGCAACAGTTGTAGAAGCAGCAGTTGTAGGAGCTGCAGTAGTTGGCACTGCAGTTGTCGGTGCAGCAGTTGTAGGCGCAGCAGTCGGGGGTGCAGCAGTTGTTGGAGCAGCAGTTGTCGGTGCTGCAGTTGTAGGTGCTTCTGTTGTAGGTGCAGCAGTTGTAGGTGCAGCTGTTGTAGGTGCAACAGTTGTTGGAGCGGCAGTTGTAGGAGTTGCAGTAGTAGGTGCTGCAGTTGTCTGTGCAGTCGTTGTAGGCGCAGCTGTTGTAGGTGCTGCAGTTGTAGGTGCAGCTGTTGTTGGTGCTGCAGTTGTCGGTACAGCAGTCGTAGGTGCAGCAGTTGTTAAAACAGCAGTTGTAAATGCAGCAGTTGTTGGAGCGGCAGTTGTAGGAGTTGCAGTAGTAGGTGCTGCTGTTGTCTGTGCAGCTGTTGTACGTGCTGCAGTTGTAGGTGCAGCTGTTGTTGGTGCTGCAGTTGTAGGTGCAACAGTTGTTGGAGCAGCAGTTGTTGGAGCGGCAGTTGTCGGTGCAGCTGTTGTAGGTGCAGCAGTTGTAGGAGCTGCAGTAGTAGGTGCTGCAGTGGTCAGTGCAGCAGTTGTTGGAGCTGCAGTTGTAGGTGCAACAGTCGTCGGTGCAGCAGTTGTTCGAGCAGCAGTCGTAGGTGCTGCAGTTGTAGGTGCAGCAGTTGTAGGTGCGGCAGTTGTAGGTGCGGCAGTTGTTGGAGCGGCAGTTGTAGGTGCAGCAGTTGTTGGAGCGGCAGTTGTAGGTGCAGCAGTTGTTGGAGCGGCAGTTGTAGGAGTTGCAGTAGTTCGCCCTGCTGTTGTAGGTGCAGCAGTTGTTGGAGCAACAGTTGTAGGTGCAACAGTTGTTGGAGCGGCAGTTGTAGGTGCAGCAGCTGTTGGTGCGGCAGTTGTAGGAGCTGCAGTAGTAGGTGCTGCAGTTGTCGGTGCAGTAGTTGTTGGAGCAGTTGTTGTAGGTGCAGCAGTTGTGGGTGCAGCTGTTGTAGGTGCAGCAGTTGTTGGAGCGGCAGTTGTAGGAGTTGCAGTAGTAGGTGCTGCAGTTGTCTGTGCAGCCGTTGTAGGCGCAGCTGTTGTAGGTGCAGCTGTTGTTGGTGCAGCAGTTGTGGGTGCAGCTGTTGTAGGTGCAGCAGTTGTTGGAGCGGCAGTTGTAGGAGCTGCAGTAGTTGGCCCTGCTGTTGTAGGTGCAGCAGTTGTTGGAGCGGCAGTTGTAGGAGTTGCAGTAGTAGGTGGTGCAGTTGTCTGTGCAGCCGTTGTAGGCGTAGCTGTTGTAGGTGCTGCAGTTGTAGGTGCAGCTGTTGTTGGTGCAACAGTTGTTGGAGCAGCAGTTGTTGGAGCGGCAGTTGTCGGTGCAGCAGTCGTAGGTGCAGCAGTTGTTAGAGCAGCAGTTGTAGGTGCAGCAGTTGTTGGAGTATCAGTTGTTGGAATTTCAGAAGTAGGTGCTGCAGTTGTCTGTGCAGCCGTTGTAGGCGAACCTGTTGTAGGTGCTGCAGTTGTAGGTGCAGCTGTTGTTGGTGCTGCAGTAGTAGGTGCAGCTGTTGTAGGTGCAACAGATGTTGGAGCAGCTGTTGTAGGTGCAGCAGTTGTAGGAGGTGCAGTAGTAGGTGCTGCAGTGGTCAGTGCAGCAGTTGTAGGCGCAGCTGTTGTAGGTGCAGCTGTTGTTGGTGCAGCAGTTGTGGGTGCAGCTGTTGTAGGCGTAGCTGTTGTAGGTGCTGCAGTTGTAGGTGCAGCTGTTGTTGGTGCTGCAGTCGTAGGTGCAGCTGTTGTAGGTGCAACAGTTGTTGGAGCGGCAGTTGTCGGTGCAGCAGTCGTAGGTGCAGCAGTTGTTAGAGCAGCTGTTGTAGGTGCAGCAGTTGTAGGAGGTGCAGTAGTAGGTGCTGCAGTGGTCAGTGGAGCAGTTGTTTGGGCGGCAGCTGTAGATGCAGCCATTGTAGGTGCAACACTTGTAGGTGCAGCAGTTGTAGGTGCAGCTGTTGTAGGTGCAACAGTTGTAGGTTCAGCAGTTGTTGGAGCGGCAGTTGTAGGAGCTGCAGTAGTAGGTGTTGCAGTTGTCGTTCCAGCGGTTGTTGGAGCTGCAGTTGTCGGTGCAGCAGTCGTTCGTGCAGCAGTTGTTGGAGCGGCAGTCGTACGTGCTGCAGTTGTAGGTGCAGCTGTTGTTGGTGCAGCAGTCGTAGGTGCAGCTGTTGTAGGTGCAACAGTTGAAGGTGCGGCAGTTGTTGGAACAGCAGTTGTCGGTGCAGCTGTTGTAGGTGCAGCAGTTGTTGGAGCAGCAGTTGTGGGAGCTGCAGTAGTTGGCACTGCAGTTGTCGGTGCAGCAGTTGTACGTGCAACAGTTGTAGGTGCAGCAGTTGTAGGTGCAGCTGTTGTAAGTGCAACAGTTGTAGCTGTAACGGTTGTAGGTGCAGCAGTTGTTGGAGCGGCAGTTGTCGGGGCTGCAGTAGTTGGCCCTGCTGTTGTAGGTGCAGCAGTTGTTGGAGCGGCAGTTGTGGGAGTTGCAGTAGTAGGTGCTGCAGTTGTCTGTGCAGTCGTTGTAGGCGCAGCTGTTGTAGGTGCTGCAGTTGTAAGTGCAGCTGTTGTTGGTGCAGTAGTTGTAGGTGCAGCTGTTGTAGATACCATAGTTGTAGGTGCAGTAGTTGTTCGAGTGGCAGTTGTCAGTGCAGCTGTCGTAGGAGCAGCAGTTGTAGGTGAAAGAGTTGTAGGAGCTGCAGTAGTAGGTGCTGCAGTGGTCAGTGCAGTAGTTGTTGGAGCAGCAGTTGTAGGTGCAGCAGTTGTAGGTGCAGCTGTTGTAGGTGCAACAGTTGTAGGTGCGGCAGTTGTTGGAGCGGCAGTTGTCGGTGCAGCTGTTGTAGCTGCAGCAGTTGTAGGTGCAACAGTTGTAGGAGCTGCATTAGTAGGTGCTGCAGTTGTCAGTGCAGTAGTTGTTGGAGCGGCAGTTGTAGGTGGAGCAGTCGTTGGTGCAGCAGTTGTTGGAGCAGCAGTCGTAGGTGCTGCAGTTGTAGGCGCAGCTGTTGTAGGTGCAGCAGTTGTAGGTGCAGCAGTCGTAGGTGCAACAGTTGTTGGAGCGGCAGTTGTTGGAGCAGCAGTTGTACGTGCAGCAGTCGTAGGTGCAGCAGTTGTAGGAGTTGCAGTAGTAGGTGCTGCAGTTGTCTGTGCAGCCGTTGTAGGCGCAGCTGTTGTAGGTAGGGCAGTTGTTGGAGTGGCAGTTGTTTGAGGGGCAGTTGTAGGTGCGGCAGTTGTAGGTGCAGCTGTTGTAGGTGCAACAATTGTTGGAGCAGCAGTTGTTGGAGCGGCAGTTGTCGGTGCAGCTGTTGTAGGTGCAGCAGTAGTAGGAGCTGCAGTAGTAGGTGCTGCAGTTGTAGGTGCAACAGTTGTTGAAGCTGCAGTTGTTGGAGCGTCAGTTGTAGGAGTTGCAGTAGTAGGTGCTGCAGTTGTCTGTGCAGCCGTTGTAGGCACGGCAGTTGTTGGAGTGGCAGTTGTAGGTGCAGCAGTTGTTGGAGCGGCAGTTGTAATAGTTGCAGTAGTAGGTGCTGCAGTTGTCTGTGCAGCCGTTGTAGGCACAGCTGTTGTAGGTGCTGCAGTTGTAGGTGCAGCTGTTGTTAGTGCTGTAGTTGTAGGTGCAGCTGTTGTAGGTGCAACAGTTGTTGGAGCAGCAGTTGTTGGAGCGGCAGTTGTCGGTGCAGCAGTCGTAGGTGCAGCAGTTGTTAGAGCAACAGTTGTAGGTGCAGCAGTTGTTGGAGCGGCAGTTGTAGGAGTTGCAGTAGTAGGTGCTGGAGTTGTCTGTGCAGCCGTTGTAGGTGCAGCTGTTGTAGGTGCTGCAGTTGTAGGTGCAGCTGTTGTTGGTGCTGCAGTTGTAGGTGGAGCAGTCGTAGGTGCAGCAGTTGTTAGAGTAGCAGTTGTAGGTGCAGCAGTTGTTGGAGCGGCAGTTGTAGGAGTTGCAGTAGTAGGTGCTGCAGTTGTCTGTGCAGATGTTGTACGTGCTGCAGTTGTAGGTGCAGCAGTCGTTGGAGTGGCAGTTGTAGGTGCAGCTGTTGTAGGTACAACAGTTGTTGGAGCAGCAGTTGTTGGAGCGGCAGTTGTCGGTGCAGCTGTTGTAGGTGCAGCACTTGTACGAGCTGCAGTAGTAGGTGCTGCAGTTGTAGGTGCAGCTGTTGTTGGAGCGGCAGTTGTAGTAGTTGCAGTAGTAGGTGCTGCAGTTGTCTGTGCAGCCGTTGTAGGCGCAGCTGTTGTAGGTGCTGCAGTTGTAGGTGCAGCTGTTGTTGGTGCTGCAGTTGTAGGTGCAACAGTTGTAGGAGCTGCAGTAGTAGGTGCTGCAGTGGTCAGTGCAGTAGTTGTTGGAGCAGCAGTTGTAGGTGCAGCAGTTGTAGGTGCAGCTGTTGTAGGTACGGCAGTTGTTGGAGTGGCAGTTGTTTGAGGGGCAGTTGTACGTGTGGCAGTTGTAGGTGCGGCAGTTGTAGGAGCAGCAGTTGTAGGAGCTGCAATCGTTGGCCCTGCAGTTGTCGGTGCAGCAGTTGTAGGCGCAGCAGTCGGTGGTGCAGCAGTTGTTGGAGCAGCAGTTGTAGGTTCTGCAGTTGTAGGCACAGCTGTTGTCGGTGTAGCAGTTGTTTGAGCGGCAGTTGTAGGTGCAGCAGTCGTTGGTGCAGCAGTTGTTGGAGCAGCAGCCGTAGGTGCTGCAGTTGTAGGTCCAGCTGTTGTAGGTGCAGCAGTTGTAGGTGCAGCTGTTGTAGGTGCAACAGTTGTAGGTGCGGCAGTTGTTGGAGCAGCAGTTGTAAGAGCAGCAGTTGTGGGAGCTGCAGTAGTTGGCACTGCTGTTGTAAGTGCAGCAGTTGTTGGAGCAGCAGTTGTAGGTGCAGCAGTTGTTGGAGCAGCAGTTGTAAGAGTTGCAGTAGTAGGTGCTGCAGTTGTCTGTGCAGCAGTTGTAGGCGCAGCTGTTGTAGGTGCAGCTGTTGTTGGTGCAGCAGTTGTAGGTGCGGCTGTTGTAGGTGCCACAGTTGTAGGTGCAG